TTACATCTCCATAGTGTAATATAGTGTCCTTCCTCGTCGCTTGTGGTTAAATAGTGCTTTACAAGGGTCTCTGTGCTTAGATTTGTGCTTCGATATACACCCAATCTGGTTTTGGCAATCTGGACCCACTTTAATAATCATCAGAATTTACTTATCCTCTACATTTCAAAAGGAAATGCATGTCTAAAACGCGAATGCTGTGAACTTGAATCGAGATCAAGCGGCACATCACAGTGTTTTGCCGACTGATATATGGACTCCAGGCTGAAGTTCGGATTGAACTTGAGCCGTCAGTTTGGACTCTGCGCTGAGGGGCGCGGCGGCGGATGGATACGAGCTCATGTGATGCGGTTACTGTTTGGTTTGACGTGATACTCCTCTGTTCTCCAAAACTTTTGAACGATTTATCGTGTAACCGATCAGTCGCGACATCAAATGAAGAAGAGTGAGACAATGTTCTACTAAATTGAAAACGTGAGCTCTTCCACTGCGGTTTACTGCGCTCACAGAAGCTCTTCAGACCGGATCACCTCAGCACGATGGAGTAAGTGTCAACTTCCATTCAGACTTTTATATGAGCTGTAACTTCCTGTGACAGTGTATATCTCAGTTTAACTCGTTTTCAGAGTTCCTGAAATACAAGAAAAACCTGCAGAAATGTATAGAGATGGGGTTTAATCATGACGTTTTGTTATGAAAGTGCACTTAAATTGCTTAACTGAGTTTCTACATATTTTCTGTACTGTTAACAAGCTTCATTTTGTATAATGTAGTGCAATGCTCTATTTTAGGCACGTTTGATGCATTTGAGTGGGTTTATAAAACACAACAATATCGCTTTGTAGTTTTAAATTACAATTACAATATAAACAGTATAAACTACAGTACAAAGTTGTTGTTTTTAATTTTGAACTGTAAACAATATTTTTGTAGTTATTTTAAGACTTTATTCTAACCTTTGTTTCACATTTGGCACTGAACTTGACTGGAGGTATCATATTACAGAATAACAAATGAGCTCTAGCAAAAGGTCAAATTCAGATTTAAATGTTTAGATTTATTTTTTATTGAAATTATTGCAAAATATTGCACTCCATCCGATTAATTTAGTCAGTTAAGGTTAAAATAATTAATTTATGTAATTAATCATTTTCATGACCCTGTGTTTTTAGTAGGAAAAAAAAGTGAAATTCCATAAAATGAAATGTTTGAGCTTGTGTTTTTATTGAAATTTTTGACACCTGGAAAGCGGAATTAACAATTTACATTTTCTTTTATTTTTCTTTTACTTTTTTTTACATTTTCATATAGGTTTCAGTTTTTCGCATCTCTTTCCTGTATGTGGCATTTCTTCGATTCTCATGCATTGTACGCAATTCACCATTTCAACCGGAATACAGCAAATTGCGGCGGCATAGATTATTCCCAGGAAGACTCCCCTCATTTGCACAGCCGGCTTAAGAGCTCCCTCTTTCCTACTGGCTAACGAAGGCCAATCATAGGTGGAGGGAGGAGTCTGCACAGACGTAGGACTAAATTGGTAAGCAGTACGACACTTTTATTTTGTCCGGTTGTTGGTGGGAACCGCACTGCAGCGTATGTGTTAATGGCGTACAGTAAGTAAAGCAAATATTTTGGTGATCCACATCGTTTCATCTTTTTTTTTTTTTTTTTTGCTATTGCTACTTGCATAGTTTAACAGAAAAATATATAGCTATTCATAGACCATTTGCACAACCATGCATGTTGAAAATATTTCATCTGTGTGTTCATAAAATGCTTTTATTGAATTAATCGGATTGTTTTTCTCTACAGATTGGATGCCAAAAACTTTTGAAGCTTACCCAAACTCAACTTCCACGGAATCCTCTCCAGGTTCCTCTATCCCACCTTCACCTCTGGAGCATGATGTCCAAATGCCCTCCGACTTGGAGGTTATGACCACTCTTCTTAAAGAAGAACTGGCTCAACTGGAGGATTATTACCTGTATGAATCGGCACCTATGAAATTGGAGAAATGGCAAAAATGTGACAAAAGCTTGCAAGCTATGGCTACGCAGTCATACTATCAGTTACCCTGCGCTTCGTACAATGTAAACCAATCTGAAACTAATCCCAGGCTGGTTTCCCTAGCAACTGGAGATCTCGACCTGAGAGGCTTCTGTGGGGGCTCCATGAGCCGACCGAAAATGTCTCGACCCGGCCCCTACAGCTATATTCGGACACACTGCAACAGCCAAAGAATATCAACGAACGGATGTAAGGATGTCGAGGTGTTCGAGAAGGAAACGTGGACTTTCAAAGGGACTCATTCAGGTTACACAGAGCTGGCTTTTGACCAGTGCTCTGTCGACAAATCTTTCGGAAAGAGCCACGCGAGTGCAAAGAAGGTTCGAGAATGTGCCATACTGTTGAAGGAAGAAGAAAAAAGTTGCTTAACGGAAGACGTGTTATACCGAGCCGAGATGATGAGAAGTTACGATCTCGGCGGGTCCCTGGAGCCCCACCACAGGCGGGAGGGCCAGAGCCACGGGATGAAGATGCTCGGCCACGACGGGATTGCCATGCCCATTTTGCAGTGCGCCGAGAGCGAGAGCTGTCCGCCGTATAAACAATCTGAAGTAGCCGAGTGCTACTTTCATCAGATCACTGCCAATTTAGAGCCATATCACGGCTTCATGAATGAAATCGATCAGCCAATCAGAACTGGGGCTGTTGATATCCAGAATAATGACTACTTGCACCACGAATGCCTTGGGGATCAAAGCTTTGAATGTCTGTCCGGAGACAGTGTTGGGTCCTCTTTGGAATTGCCCATCCAGAAACCACTACAAAGGTCACAGGAAAGTCAGTGTGTGTTTAAGCCAGATGTTAAAGTAGGTTCCTTGGAGAGAAACCATGGTGAACGCAAGCAGAAGAAGAGGGATCAGAACAAGTCTGCTGCCCACAGGTACTGTACCCACTTTGTTTTTGGTGACTCAGTCAAATGAAAGTGCTAGAATATTGCATGAGTTAATAAAAAGCAAGCATGTTTGCTTCAAATGCGCAGAAAAGCTGAACCATGTTATTTCATTCCACAAATGTTGCCAAAAAACAATAGGTACCGTCAGCGTAAGAGGGTGGAGCAGGACTGTTTGGAGGAGGAGCTTCATGGTTTGGAAGGGCGGAACAGAGAACTTCGGGACAAAGCAGAATCTGTAGAGAGAGAGATTCAGTATGTGAAAGATCTCCTGATTGAAGTCTACAAGGCTCGCAGTCAGCGCTTAAAAGAGGATTCCAGTGCCTAAACCGTCTCTTACCAGCATTTCACTTATACCAGGCTCTGACAGCATGTCTTTATGCTCTAAATAGTTAGTACAAAAAAAAACAAGAGCTCATGTATTAAAATGGTTGTGTTTTTCCAAAGCAAAAGCCGCATGGTTTCATGAAACTGAGAGCATAATAATATGTCTTTCTTCCAAAATGCATGAGTGTGTGTTAAATATTTTATAAGTAAGAAGAACACAATGGATAATTTTTTAATATTTCAAATCCTAGCCCCATTCTTCATGTTTAATTTCAAACACACCATTCACAAGCAATGGTGTGATTAAAATCAATATTTTCTTTCTGGAATCTTTTTATGCAAGTGCAAGCCTTTTGGTGGATCGCACCTGCCGTCTTTATTTCTAGTACCGGAATTCCTTGCAGCCTTTTAATAGGCAGTGTGTGATGTGACTTCTGAAGAAAAAGAGCTGGGGAATGCAGAGGATGTGCGTGAGAAGCTTAGAGGCGTTGACTTGTGGCCCTCAGGGCAAAGGGCATTTCACTCTGCACTCTGTTTACCTTCCAGCTGATCACACTCGAAGGAATATAAGAAACACAGTCTGACAGTGCTGACATCGTTTCTAAGTGTGTGTGTTCGCAAGGTTGGTAAAATACATGCGTGTTTAGACACCCCACACATCTTTCAATAGAAGGCTGTTATTGCCTAAAGTAAAAGTGATTCTTATCTATGGCCAGTGGAATTTGTCAAGGGATGGTTTTGCCTCTTAAAACTGAGCTTCAAAAATGAAAATACTCTCCCTCATGTCTTTACAAATCTGTATAATTTTATTTCTACTGTGGAACGCAAAAGGAGAAATTTTGAAGAAAGTGCTGGTTGCTCTTTTCCAGCCATTCCAGTTGATTTCAGTACTTAATACATTATTAAAATCAGAAGATGTATCTGTTAATATTAATGGACCTGAGTAAACATGAACTAATATCGCATTTTTTCTTATAGCATTAACAAGATTAATGAATACCATAACAAATTGTTGATGTTAGTTAATGCATTAACTTTGAAGTAACGAAACGATAAAATATAAAAGATAATGATATAAACATTAAAAACAGTAACATTAGAAATTTGAACTTAAATTAGTTCAAGCTGAAGTACTAATAAAACTAGTAAATTAGCTGAATTTACAGCTTTTTTACAGCAATCTTCAGTGTCACATAAACCTTCTGAAATAATTCTAACAAAAAATTCTTATTATTATCAATGTTAATAACAGTTTTTGCTGCTTAATATTTTTGTTTTCGGGATTCTTTAATGAATATAACGTTCAAAAGAACAGCTTTTATTTGACAGAGAAATATATATTTTTTTACATCCCAGTTGTCTTTACGGTCACTTTTTATCAATTTAATGCATCCTTGCTGAATTGATCTATTAATTTCTTAAAAAAAATAAAAATATAAATCTTACTGACCCCAAATGTTTTAATTTGAGAATAAGAATTCACTTGTAACTTTGCAAAAGGGAAAATAACACCAGCAATATGTATATATTTAGTTGTAAGTGCTATTAGGAAACATACAAGTATATTTCTGTGCGAAAGCAAAAAGGCCTTTGTACGCCAATATACATAAGCATTACAGTCTCCTCAATGTCAAAACTATTTGCTCTTGGAGCAAATAGGAACGGTGGCATTTGACCGACTCGTAGGTCTTACCACATTTTTATTCCCTTTTAAACATTTTGCTACTCAAATGTAACTAACAGTGGAAGTTTCACAGAAACCAGCTAATGGGCAACCATTGTGTTTTTGCTCCTCACTTTTCACCTGAACACTGAACAAAATATACGGTTGCATAATACATAGCTTTACCATGACTTGAAGACTATCCTCATCCTCCTTTTCGTATATACGTATATGTACATTTTGTCTTCAATGGCAGGTAAAAGCTTGTATTCACTCAAAAACGTTTACCGTCAGTTAACAGCACTGCCTGGCTTGACAGAGAAAACAACTCTTGCTAGAAGCAGCCGCACATGTAGCCAAACTGTTCCTAAATCACGTTGTTTCTGGCCTGAAAACAGAAAAACAATTAAATAATCACATGTTTAGAATTGCTGCCTTGAACAAAATGTGTTATGTAACCGTTAAAAGTATCTGTTTAACACCATTTAAAACACGATTCTCTGCAGAACATCAAGATTAAACACGCCTCACACCTTGATATGATTTGACTGAAAGAAGGCTGCTTGTTCACACAGCTTCTAATAAACACCTCTTTTCATCACACTGAAGTGACCCTGAGACGAAACTCCTACTCTAGTGAATCATGTTGGCCAGCAGCATGTTTGTCTCTCATTCTCACCAGAGCGTGTAAATAGCACTCCATTTGAAGGAGGCACTCTAGCGTTTCCATCATCTGCTCCTTGCGAAGGGTGTGCAGTCTGACCTGTCCTGCAGACTCGCACATCTCCAGCTCACGCACCGTATGCTTAAGAGATACTGCCGCACACTGCAGAGCACTGAGCCCTACAAAGAAAATACCATGAATCCATGTTCTTTACACATGGTAGAAATACACTTCTAATTAGCCATTGCTTTGATCAAAAACAAGCTGAATGTGAAAGCACATGGATTAAGGCAGGGTCTAAAATTAGCACAGTTTGACCGCTAACTTTACCAAGAACTACAACTTACTGCATAATTTAAATTGCAAGATGCAGTTGCTGTTTTATACAAGTCAGTCAATATGTCTTAACAACCAGGAAAACATTTGCATAATCTAGTATATACTTGTGTGTGTGTGTATGTATGTATGTGTGTGTATATATATATATATATACATACATACATACATACACACACACACACACACACACAAAAGAATATACTAGAAAATGCTAATTGTTTTCTGGTTGTTAAAACACACTGGTAGCATTTTAAGGCTCCATTTGTTAACATTAGATAAATACACTAATAATGAAAAATACTTCTAAAGCATTTATTATTCATAGTGTTAATTAACATTTACTAATACACAATTAAATTGTATCTGTAAATATAATTTAATGGACCTGAGCTAACATGAACTAACAATGAACAGTTGTATTTGTATTAACTAAGATGAATAAATACTTTAAGAAATGTATTGCTTATTGTTACTTAATGCATTAACTAATGTTAACTAATGGAACCTTTTAAAGTGTTACCAAAATATTAACTGATACATATTCTTAATTAATTGGCACAAAATGTATACTCTGCCAACAAACGTTCAACTACTAGCTCGAATCTTTAATCATTAAACCACATAACTTCTAAGTCTCTCCTTTGTAATGCAAATTCTAATTACAAAACATGTTCAAACGAGTCATCTCTTTCACTACAGGGTAATAAAACAACAAGTTTGTGACTAGTACTGCTGGATTCTTCTCAGGTATAGGCAGCAGGAATGCAGCCACTGCCTTACTGCAGTCAAAACTCAAAAGATTTGGAAAATGCCAACTAGAACAATATAAAAACAACTCAGCTGATTTTTACAGAAAGCAACATAGCAAAAACCATTTTGTACCGTTCGCATCGCTTTCCTCCAAATTAATATATATGCCATTTCTCATCAAACCTTTCAGGACCTGTCAAAAAAGATATTTAAAATATGAGTGAATGTGTAGAAGTAGGCTCTGTATGTTAAAACTCTAGCACCACATAAAGATTTTACCTCCAAGACTCGAATATATCCATTCTCTGCACTGAGATGAAGACATGTTTTCCCATATCGGTCCTTCACATTGATATTTGCACCAAGTGACACCAAATCAGCCACCATGAAGTGTTGATTCTTCTGTGCAGCAAGATGAAGGGGAGTCTGGGAAGAAAAACAGGCCCATGCAACATTTATGTGTTTGTCAAGTGACTGAATATGCATGTATGATTGTTTGTCTGTCACCTTTCCCTCTGAATCTTTGATATCCAGTTTCTTCAGAGCTGCCATCCTTCTGGCAATAACGTACACAAGGGATCTCTTTCCCTCCTCAACAACTCTGTGTAAAAGACTGTGGAGAGAGAATGAAAGCGGTCACTTTCCATTGCATGATCTGTTCGCTTTGCAATGTCATGCTATCACTAATTGTAAACAGCTGCGTTCGATGGGTGGAGTACTACAGGTCTATTCCACTGAAAGGTAAACCTGCATCGTCTTTTATTGCGTTTGAAAACACCGTCAATTCAACTGGTGTAGTCTTTCAGGATGTTTGTCAGGTCTGTGCATGTGGCCATTACCAATAGCCATTGTTCAAGCCATTTCATGCAATTAGGTTTGTTTGAAGACCCTCTGCGCCATCTTTGTTGGAGTGGAAATGCTTCCGATTTCAGCTGGGTTCCCATTAATCTCTTTTATTCTGCTCTGCTTGAGAACTTAATAATGGGGTTTGTCATAAAGTTGGAAGTGGAAAACTAATGCAGCTGCTTATTGAGCGTGACAACAACGATGGGAGACCCACTTTCGCTCTTTCTGTATTTCATAAAAAGTTTCAAATGATAAAGGTGGCACTGCAAAAAGTACCCTTGCAATTCTTGGTACTTGAAGATTATTTTCAGAAACTGTGTGCATTTTCTTCATTTTTATAAATTACAGCCGCCTTTGAAAGATTAGTCATTAGGATCTGCATGAAGAAACCATCTGCAATGGCTTCAGTGAGTTCTTGAAGTAAAGAAAAATTATCTTACATCCTTCCGTTTTCGTCTACAGCAAGAAGCTCTTGGTCCGATATCTCTTTCAGCAGATTCTCCTCTCTTTCCAGTTGAGTCCAGAAGAAGGTCATACCGCTCCACTCCTCCTGGTGAGAATGTGGCCATGGTGGATAGTTCATCTTTTTAGAAGAAACCTCCAAGACTTCTGGGTTGGGACTGGCGTTGAATGACTCTTGTGGAGAGGGCACCTGGTATTCGCATGAGTTGGCAGGAGAGCAGCTCATTCCATATAGATCATCACACCTGTACTTATCTGACTCATAACTGCTATAGTATTCCTGATTCCCCAAGAAGACATCGGCACCCTGGCTGTAAGTTGGGGATGGATAGGAGCTGGACACAGAATGGACAGGGGAGGTTGAGGAGGGTACCGAGTAGCTTGGAGACAAAGGTATCTCATTCTCCTGGCCATATGTGTTCATGAAACCTTGTGGAGATGCATCTTCAACCCAGAACTCAGAAGAGTATGAAGTTGAAGGGCTTTTGTTTGGTGATCTGTTTGATTGACAGGTCTTGAGATCCTCCTCCAGCACTTCTACTATAATTGCAAGCTCCTCAAGACTTTTTGTTTGATGTTTCTTCTGTAACAGACATGAGAAATGTGCCACAACCTGTCTTTGTAATACCAACAAAGTTACCAATCAAGAAGCAAGTTCTACAGTGGCAGAAAAAGACATCACTCACCAGAAAACGTCTCTGGTTTCCACCTGTGGTAACTCGTTTCTTATCCCCTTTGGACCAAAGACAGTGCTAATTAGAAACACAATGAAGATAAAATGATTATGCTGACATTTTATATTTCTCAACCTTACCTTTAGAAGCCTTTGAATGTTTTCCCTATAAAAAGACAGAATCAGAACATGAAGAGCATGCCTCAGTATGACCGTAAAAGACTATAAGACAAAGAATCATACCTGCAGATCTTTAGGGTCAATACCCTTGGCTATCCGTATATTTCTGAGCATGTCCCGTACTGGCATTCTCACTCGGACTCCGAGGTACTTCTTTTCAGAAGTAGACTTGTGTTTTTTTGGACCTAAAGGAACACAGGCCTATTAGTGATGCAGCAGGTTAACTAAGAAACTGCATCCTTCAATATAACACAATGCAAATATAAACCTTTTAATGTTTTCCAAGTCATACAGCAACAGGATATATCTTAAGGCTCGAATACAAGATTTTTGTTCCAATTTTTCGCCGATTTACTGTCTGGAGAACTTGACGACCAGTCTGCAGATTTGAGTCGACAGATTTCACAAGAAAATCATGCGGTGTATGATAGTCAAAAACTGTATGATAGGCTTCAGATTATGATTCTATCCAGTCCATTTTAAACATGTTTGATATTTTGAGCCCATTTTAGAACACATTGTTTTCATTTGTCACGTGCCTCCTTGCAACAAGGCACACATTTCTGCTCGAGTTTGTTGCGATTGGAACAACTTTAAAGTCTGGTAGTGTACGATCTTCAGTCGATTAGAGTATGATGGCCAGTTTTTTTCTCTGGGACTACTACAAAGTTGTTAAGTGTATGAGGCCAAAGTTGTTAAGTGTATGAGATCTGTTCTGTTTTTAAACATTGTGTAGCGTATTCCAGCCTTAACGTGATCGAACAGCATGCAAACACCAATCAAATTTCAGTCAGAAATGTATTTAAAGTAGAATCGCTCATACAGGTCATAACTTCTATAATGACTCCAGATTTAGGCTTGCTTTAATGAAAATAGCATAAGGTGAAATTCTAACTGTATAGTCTGCTTCGTTTAATGCATTGCTAGCTGTATATACAGGTGTGTTTGTGTGTGTGTGTGTGTGTGTACACACCGTTTGTATACAACTATTAAAAACATTGCATATAAACTATCAAAATGGTACAGACAAACCAGCTAGACACTAGCTTGGCCCAGCAGAGAGATAATCCTAAACCAGATAATACCATATTAAACCAGCTAAGACCAGCACACATCAGCTCAGGCAGGTTTAACTGTTTCCCCCAAGTAGCATATGGATATCAGAGCGATTAATCTTCTCCTGCACAGTGTTTTGGAGATATTTTGTACCCACCTGTTTGACAGCGGTTCTTGGCTTTATTGCCCCCTGATGTTTTCTGGCTCGGTACCGGTGAATTCGGTCCTTTTGCATTTGAAGGAGTTTCTGCTGGCAGCGGTGACCCGTTGCACGAATGGTCGCGCTGTTCGGTGTGTTTAGGTGGCTTATCGCGCCCTGTGGCCTTTACCTGACTGCTCACCATCCTGATGTCCGGTTATAAAGCTGACTATAAGGTGCCACGCGTTCGGACTGTTATGACAACAAACGCACTATGTATGGTCGAGGAATGGGCTGCTTACCTGCTAGTCCTCATTCAAAATGTGTGTCATGTCAGCGGCGGTTCGTTTTCATTACCTGATTTGAGGAGGCGGGACAGTCACAGCACATTTAACTCCGGCAGAACTCGCCTGAGCTGTTCAGTCCAAGATTTAGGCTACTACTCATAATAACATATAATAATAAATCAAATGAAATAAACAATCTTAGCCTAATGAAAATGACAATGTTAACAATTTATCTCTAAATATCACAGTAGGCTACTACAATTTATACATACATGACTAAATTGTTTCATTTATACAGTTTATAGCCTACATTTATTCTGTATGCATAATTTATTTTCCTCTAATACATATATTTAATTGTTTTGATATAGTTACAATAATGTGGAAAGTCTCCACTTTATTGTAGACTAACTAGGCCTAGAACAAAACTATTTATTATTTTATGTATAAACCTATTGTATGGATTTATTCTGAGCCTTAATTAGGCTACAGCATGCAACCATTTCTTTCGTTCTCCAGGATAAATGAATAAGCTAAATATTATAACAATCTTTTTGAATTCTCAAAGGTTCTGAACGAACAAAAGCCTTAATAAACCAGAAAAAAATGCGTCCAAATGCTGACAAACTGAATTAAGCCATTGTTCGGCATTTTTCAGCATTTTTGTTTTTCATTTATTTTTTTATTTTACTTTTCATTGGCATAGCTTATCTTCCACCGCTGTCGCTCTCTCTCTCGCCCCATTAGATCATACTGACATCTACCGATGACACACAAACACACACTCCCTCTAAAAAATATTCCATTGACTTTTTATCAGTTAGTCCCTGCGATGCTGTTACTATAAATCTGGTAGCTTCTGGGATCAAAGGGTTCAATACGAACAATGTTTGCTATGTTTGCAGTATGTCCGTACTTTCTTTCTTTTGAAATGGAAGCTCCTGTCGTCAAGTCAAATTCCTTGTGTGTGTAAACATTGGTAATAAAGCTTTTTCTGACTTCTGACATGCAACATATGCTAATTAGTCTAATATTCCAATATCAATTACTATTTGCAGTGTTGGGGTGCCTCCAGGACCAGGGTTGGGACCCACTGGTTTAGAGCATAAGAAAAAATTTGAAAAGTAACATTTTTGAAAAATTATATTTTATTCATATGTTATGCCATGTCCTCTGTAGAAGACATCGGGACTTTAAAAAGTCCTGTTTTTTAAGAAATAAAAAGACATGAATATACATGCAAATGCAAAAACAGTGGGATTTTTGTTTTAATCGCAAATCAATTTTCTTTTTTTATACCAAACTTTATATAAAGACGATTCTCAACTATGTTATGAAAGATATTTTTAAAAAAAAAAATTCTTTATGCAAAATGTGTGTAAAATGGCCATAAACAAGTTTTTCCATTATATACAATGTATCTATAAACTGTATCTAATTTGCATATTAATGTGCTTTTGGGGCAAAATCGAATGAACAAATAAGTGCAATAATGAGTAATAATTAGCAAGATTTTCATAATAATCTAATATTTAATAGGAATATTGATACATAATTTTTTCTCTATTCATTTGTTGTGTCTCCCAAAATGTGCAGTGAACATGCTTTTAGTCCTGGTGTCCTCTACAGTGGACATGTATGAAGTCGACGTCCTGTTTCATAACAGAAGGTCATATTTTGATTTGAAACCCCATAACATTTTCCTGAGATGTTGATTTATGACAAACAATTTGAAAATTAGTCAGATTTAAATGATAATTACAAAATATTATCATATTTCCATAAGGATGTGTTACACTTGATCACTAAATGAATGTCAGCCATTTTTAAAGACCAATGAGAGGGAGTGGTCATGGTGAAACATCCAATCATTTGGTATCTCTGAAAAGCCCTGAATGTGCTCTGTACAGGACATCCAGACTTAAAACTGTGACATGTAACGTCTCAGAGAAATCACTAAAACATAATGTCCTCTACAGAGGACAAAACTCCATAGCTGGTAGTCAGGAGGATATTAATTCGAAATATATGGACATTCATCTATAGCCTATTTGTCTCATTCAGTTTGTGTCAAACTATCCAGGTATTCTTAATTCATTCCTTATCAATAAATCTTTAAGGATAGATTTGTGGGATTTTTTATAATATGCCTAAATATTAAACAGTAGGCTATACTGTATCTGATGATGTTGACACACAGCGAGATATAGCAAGAGAGAGAGTAAACATGTAGAAGAAATAAAATGTTTTTAATATTTTTTTTTCTCCACCAAATATGGATGTTTCGCAAATTAATCCACAATCATTTACTGTTTTTTCCTCTTCTTTCTTTCTTTCTTTCTTTCTTTCTTTCTTTCTTTCTTTCTTTCTTTCTTTCTTTCTTTCTTTCTTTCTTTCTTTCTTTCTTTCTTTCTTTCTTTCTTTCTTTCTTTCTTTCTTTCTTTCTTTCTTTCTTTCTTTCTTTCTTTCTTTCTTTCTTTCTTTCTTTCTTTCTTTCTTTCTTTCTTTCTTTCTTTCTTTCTTTCTTTCTTTCTTTCTTTCTTTCTTTCTTTCTTTCTTTCTTTCTTTCTTTCTTTCTTTCTTTCTTTCTTTCTTTCTTTCTTTCTTTCTTTCTTTCTTTCTTTCTTTTTTAACTCCGGCAGAACTCGCCTGAGCTGTTCAGTCCAAGATTTAGGCTACTACTCATAATAACATATAATAATAAATCAAATGAAATAAACAATCTTAGCCTAATGAAAATGACAATGTTAACAATTTATCTCTAAATATCACAGTAGGCTACTACAATTTATACATACATGACTAAATTGTTTCATTTATACAGTTTATAGCCTACATTTATTCTGTATGCATAATTTATTTTCCTCTAATACATATATTTAATTGTTTTGATATAGTTACAATAATGTGGAAAGTCTCCACTTTATTGTAGACTAACTAGGCCTAGAACAAAACTATTTATTATTTTATGTATAAACCTATTGTATGGATTTATTCTGAGCCTTAATTAGGCTACAGCATGCAACCATTTCTTTCGTTCTCCAGGATAAATGAATAAGCTAAATATTATAACAATCTTTTTGAATTCTCAAAGGTTCTGAACGAACAAAAGCCTTAATAAACCAGAAAAAAATGCGTCCAAATGCTGACAAACTGAATTAAGCCATTGTTCGGCATTTTTCAGCATTTTTACTTTTCATTGGCATAGCTTATCTTCCACCGCTGTCGCTCTCTCTCTCGCCCCATTAGATCATACTGACATCTACCGATGACACACAAACACACACTCCCTCTAAAAAATATTCCATTGACTTTTTATCAGTTAGTCCCTGCGATGCTGTTACTATAAATCTGGTAGCTTCTGGGATCAAAGGGTTCAATACGAACAATGTTTGCTATGTTTGCAGTATGTCCGTACTTTCTTTCTTTTGAAATGGAAGCTCCTGTCGTCAAGTCAAATTCCTTGTGTGTGTAAACATTGGTAATAAAGCTTTTTCTGACTTCTGACATGCAACATATGCTAATTAGTCTAATATTCCAATATCAATTACTATTTGCAGTGTTGGGGTGCCTCCAGGACCAGGGTTGGGACCCACTGGTTTAGAGCATAAGAAAAAATTTGAAAAGTAACATTTTTGAAAAATTATATTTTATTCATATGTTATGCCATGTCCTCTGTAGAAGACATCGGGACTTTAAAAAGTCCTGTTTTTTAAGAAATAAAAAGACATGAATATACATGCAAATGCAAAAACAGTGGGATTTTTGTTTTAATCGCAAATCAATTTAATTTTTTTATACCAAACTTTATATAAAGACGATTCTCAACTATGTTATGAAAGATATTTTTAAAAACCATTTTTCTTTATGCAAAATGTGTGTAAAATGGCCATAAACAAGTTTTTCCATTATATACAATGTATCTATAAACTGTATCTAATTAGCATATTAATGTGCTTTTGGGGCAAAATCGAATGAACAAATAAGTGCAATAATGAGTAATAATTAGCAAGATTTTCATAATAATAATCTAATATTTAATAGGAATATTGATACATAATTTTTTCTCTATTCATTTGTTGTGTCTCCCAAAATGTGCAGTGAACATGCTTTTAGTCCTGGTGTCCTCTACAGTGGACATGTATGAAGTCGACGTCCTGTTTCATAACAGAAGGTCATATTTTGATTTGAAACCCCATAACATTTTCCTGAGATGTTGATTTATGACAAACAATTTGAAAATTTGTCAGATTTAAATGATAATTACAAAATATTATCATATTTCCATAAGGATGTGTTACACTTAATCACTAAATGAATGTCAGCCATTTTTAAAGACCAATGAGAGGGAGTGGTCATGGTGAAACATCCAATCATTTGGTATCTCTGAAAAGCCCTGAATGTGCTCTGTACAGGACATCCAGACTTAAAACTGTGACATGTAACGTCTCAGAGAAATCACTAAAACATAATGTCCTCTACAGAGGACAAAACTCCATAGCTGGTAGTCAGGAGGATATTAATTCGAAATATATGGACATTCATCTATAGCCTATTTGTCTCATTCAGTTTGTGTCAAACTATCCAGGTATTCTTAATTCATTCCTTATCAATAAATCTTTAAGGATAGATTTGTGGGATTTTTTATAATATGCCTAAATATTAAACAGTAGGCTATACTGTATCTGATGATGTTGACACACAGCGAGATATAGCAAGAGAGAGAGTAAACATGTAGAAGAAATAAAATGTTTTTAATATTTTTTTTTCTCCACCAAATATGGATGTTTCGCAAATTAATCCACAATCATTTACTGTTTTTTCCTCTTCTTTCTTTCTTTCTTTCTTTCTTTCTTTCTTTCTTTCTTTCTTTCTTTCTTTCTTTCTTTCTTTCTTTCTTTGCAGTTTTCTTTCTTTCTTTCTTTCTTTCTTTCTTTCTTTGCAGTCCCAGTAGTCAGAAATCATTGTACGGTATGGTTTCGTTATAGCTATTTTATTTATTTTGTAGTTATTTAGATGTACGTAACATGAAGACTATTGCGCAGATAAGCGCTGTGTTTCGCTGTATAAACACTAGATGGC